TCTTTAGGAACATTAGTTTTATCAACATCTTTCATGGGAATATATGGACCATTAACTATAAGATGCCATATTTGATAATCTATAACTTGAAGGAAATCCATCATTTTATTTTTTCAGTAGCTATAGTTGGTTCCATCAAATCAGGGAGGTCTGTGGTTAGACTGACCTTCTTCAAAGGTGGTACCATTAACATTAGTCATGATCGATCTCTAAGATATATGGTTAGATCCTCGGGGGCGGGGACACGCACTTCAATTATAAGTTTGGATTAGATGAGTTATTTAAAAAAAAAAGACATAATAAATTCAATTACAATATAAAATAAAGAAGGAGAGTAAGAGAAAAGTAAACTCTTGACACAATGATTTAGCAAGATTCGGTAACTCATACACCTCGTCTCAAGATCACTCTTGAGACTTCCCAATACCCACTATGGCACCTCTTTATAGGTGGAGATCAAACCAGTACAAGAAACTCACAGCTTCAACTTCTTCTTACTAAGAGAACAATCCTCTTTTATACGTACTTTTGCTAGGTTATACCAACCCTTACAATTGATTGAATATAAAAGATTGAATCACAGAGATCCTATCAAGGATTTGATATGCAAAACAAGACTCACAATCCTATAGCATATTAGAACATAGCAGATGATCAAAGCTCAATAGGATTCAATGAATGAATGACACAATAAATATGAGTGCTTGAATATTTCTTTTGAAAAATCGTTTTCTCTCTTAAAGCAAATGACAATTCTTTGTTTTTTTTTTTTTGGAATCTCAGAACTCCCCTAGGCAGGGCCCTTTGGACCCACCCCAGTTTACAAATGATAATTCTTAAGACCTTAATAATGAACATTTATAGATAATATTGTGAATTGTACACAGCGGAATATTTAGAAAGTTTTGTATTTTTGAAAATAGATCTATGTCTTCTAACTTTACTTATTTTAGCAATTAAATAATTAATCAAATGCAAGATAAATAAAGCAACGTAAAGAGTTAGAAATGACACCTGGATTTTTAGCGAGAAAACCCCAGTTAATAAAATAGATCAACTGTTTGCATGGGAAAAACCTCGTGGACTACGCAATCTAAAGTAAATTGATCCAATATGTATGAAACAAAGTACACTGAACTTTGACTCTGTCTCACACCCTATCGTTCTACCAAATACCAATAACTGACAATCCTCTGGCTTTACAACGTCCCGTCCAACAACACTTGACCTCAGGCTTATGCTTGATCTCTGTAAAAGGGTAGTAGGTAGATCAAACAACACTCCTTGAATGCTTTGACCCTTTCAAAGTGTGGTCGCTTTTATTTCTGTTCTTCAATATTTGAATTCGATGTAGAAGTAGATCTGTTTTTCTCTGATCGTTGTAGATGCAAGACTTTGATCACGATCAAGATTTGAATAACACTCTAAACTCACTCTGTGTTTATGCATATATTTTAGAAAAACTGACAGAGAAATCAACTTTGATTTTCTGCAAAAATAATCTTTCTAGGGCTTTTATGAATAATGAAGTTGTAATGCAAGAGTCGTTTTAAACCTAGATGAATATCAAGGTTTATATAAAATTTTCAAAGACCTAATCCTTCAGAAAATAAAGGAAATTGCATGCATAGGACTTTTGGTATAATTCTAAACTAACTAGGAAGGAAATGAGAACAGGAATCAAACTTACCATAATCTAAAACAACAGTGGTACCGGTAGCCAATATGTGGAACCGGTTCCCATTAAACAAAATGGTTTCTTTCGAAATCCCTTGCTTTTGAACCGGTTCCCAAATGGTAGTATCGGTTCCCACTTGACAGAATTCAATCAGAACTTGAAAAACTCTGTTTATGGTAACTTGGAAAACATACCATGTAGGTATTGTGTCCTAAGTGGGAAATGACTTCCTAAAAATGTTGTTCTTTCCTTTCTCGATGATCTCAGTATTTCTTCTTCTGAACAACTTTCCAATTTCGCAATCGACGTCAATCTTGATATAGTAACTTGAAATTACAACTCGACTAGGACTTGTTTTGACATCGAATATTGTCAATTACAAAATTTATATCTCACAAATATGTGTGGCATAAATAGGAATGTGAATTAATGCCAATATTACCGTTTGATATGAATTGATTGCTCCAGATCTGAAATTTCAACTCATCTGATTGGTTACATTTACCATATGTACAGTCACTTGGACTCATCTGATCGGTCAGATCAGATGTTGGATCTGATCTTCGAGTGATCGGATATATGTTTCGTCTGGTCGATAGCTTGGGTGATTGGTTAAATCAGCAATCTGTTCGATTACATGACGAACTATGATGATCAGCTGTTCTTCTATTTTTGTCATCTTATCGATTACATATGGGGTAATCTGGTCAGTTAATTGAGCTGAACTATTCTAACACAAGTGACAGTCTGTTCGGTTTGATGACAAAGCGGATATACTACATCTTTCTGTTATGGTTGATCATTTCAACGATAACATGAAGCAATTTGTTCAGTTACATTGTAATATTTGATCGGTTACTTTGTGATCTAATCGGTTACTTGGCTAGTGCTGAAAATACAGTCTCTGTTTTTTATCGATCATCTTAACGATAACATCCTATCATCTAATCGGTTAGATGATCTGTGAAGACCTTTATCATTTGTGTAATGTTTTAAAACCTTTTGTTTAGATGTAATGCATGAAATGAGTGAATCCAGAGCTTTGAATCAAATGATATGAACCAATGCTTTACAAGTGATCTAATCTAATTCTCACCGTTCTATAACATTAGCTTATGATCATTCTTGTTGGTGCATCTTTAGAAAAGAAGTTAAAACACTTTCTTCTTTGTTTGTTATCATCAAAACTGTAAGGAGTGCAAGGCTGAAACATCTTTGCGCTAACAATGTAATTGACCTTGATGAGAATGGTTTTCTTATCTCTTGACAACTATCCATATTATTTGAAAAACTATTCAGTACCGAGAATGTAGTATAAATCTCAGCTAATGGTTAGTTGTTATTTTCTATTATAAATAAAAATGGAGTGTATTCATTGACCGGAGTACTGTACTCAGGTATGTTTTTTTTTCCCTTCAAATTATTGATTGTGGTTGTTGAATAAGCTAGGATTTTAGGCATATATGGAATGTTTAGTGTCCTCAACTAACAAAAATATATATGCATGACATATGCATGGTAGTTCATAATATTACTTGTAGGACACAATGAAGGACACTCTCATCCAATCATGTATATATATGGAAAGCTTACAAAATGAAGATCAAGACTGCTGCAAGGATATGGCTTTCTTTTCTGTCTTCCACTTTTCCTTTTGACATAGCTACAATGTGCCCCACAGCCCCCAGACACAAATAGATTAAGGCACACTCATGTGATTGTTAGAAGAAAATTTTCAATCTAAATAAGTTCTACAAGCACACGTATATTAAAATTCTAATCAAACTGTAGAAATGAAATCTTATATCATGATTCATGACATAATCCACAACACAAATTAACCAAAAAAAAATGAAAAAAAAAAAAAAAAAAAATGAAGATATGTGTTTTATAGAAAAACATGAACATGATTATCATGATTTAATTAAATTCAAATTTTTTTTTTTTCATTGACAACAAACTCACATACTGGTCAATTGTTCCTGAGGAACTTGACCTCTCATCTCTCACTTTGAGAGAAAGAGGAGATAGGCACGGACTTAGTGAAGGTCCAGTTGGGGCAATTGGCCCCCAATTTTTTATTATTATTATTTTTAATTATATACCTATAGAATTTAAAATTTGCACCCACTGAAAAAAAAAAAAAAAAAAAAAAAAAAGACCAACCCACTATCACCCACACCCCATGGTTTGAATTTTTTTATTTTTTATTTTTTATCTTGTTATTAAAGATCGGCTCCCTCTCACATAATTTTTTGGATTAGTCGCTGAAAGGAAATACCATTAAATCACAAACCTTGGTAATTGCTTAAATTCAATTATTTACCATGAAAAATTCAATAAAAATCTTCAATTCAAGAAAACAATGGAGGATTTTTTATTTTTTATTTTTATTTTCAAATGGGATACTTTGGGCTTGTTTAGTTCAGTATTTATTTTTTATTTTAGTTTTTTGGTGACAAGAAACCATTCATTAAGCTAGGAAACAGATTAATACACGAACACAAGGGCAAACCGATCGAACCAAACAAAGCCCAAAACAAGAAGGAAAAAAAATCATAGAGATTGCTAGAAATAGATGAAAATTTGTTGGGTTGATAGTTTTTGAAACTGTTAAATAATATTGAGGTCCAAAAACGAAAATTTCGATTTTAGAGAACTGTGTTTATAGTTTTATAATTTATTTTCTGTTTTTATAGTTCTTGAAGACTTTTTTCAAATAACTAAATTAAACAAGACTATCAATAAGGCTAAGGCTTTAACATCATTGAACTTGGTTTAATATTCATATTGAAAATTTATCAATATGAAGGCTAGGGTTTGAACTTGGTGCCCTTATACCACTACTACTAGATCTGTGATTTTTATACTCATACCTCTTTGGTGGCTTTTCTATGAAATCGTTAATATTGTTGGAGCAAAATAGAATTTTATATATAATGAAAGAGAAATGGAAGGTATGGCCTATTCGTTTCAGTTTTCTAGAAATAGTTCTCAAAACTCAAAAAGACACTTCTCCGAAACTACACTTTTTTCTGTAAAATCAAGTTTTCAAAAAATGTTATCCAAACATATTTTTGTACAGATTTATGATTTTCGACTTCAATTTACTAGGAAAAAAAATCCTAAATATTCAAATTAATTTCAACAGTTAAACTTTGTGAAAAAGAAAACAACAAAAAGATTAAAAGTGAAAAGGATATCAAAACCCCTTTTACAGGTGGGGAAAAAGAAGAATTCTATGCACTTGAGTCGTCCCATTTCCTGCATTATGTATTATAGCTAATTTTATGCAACTTATGCTATATACAAGCCTGAATGGTTGAATAAAAGAAAAGCTACATAATTTATTCTAACCAGTAGGATTATCCTACAACTTAAACTAGAATCAACCTTTTTGGCGCCACTGAAATTTTCTTTTGAATCCAGTTCAAAAGGAGAACCACCACATGAATAGAGAGATGAAAACATTGCAATAATGGAGTTAAAAAGGGAACCTCTCTTTCTTTGCCCCCACTACTCACCCCCTTTTATCAAAAAATAAAAGCTACCATTTTAAAGGAAGCAGCTTTCACGCTAGGTTCAAGAGAATATGCATGGATCTCCTTCCTCTCAAGTTATAGCACTTGAATAGTTTTGTAAGGCACAACTTTTAGCTCCCATCAAGCACTCAATCCCCACCTTTTTCTCTTTGCAAAGTTTTTGCATATACTAAAAACCACATATTCTCTCTCTCTCTCTCTCTCTCTCACCCCCAACTCCACTTTATTATCATCAACTTTGCTTTCCTTTTGACAAAACATGGAATTCCCATATAATCAAATCCACCCATTGATTGATGATGGATGGCAGATGGATTGTACACCAACACCCAAAAAATCCCTGGTTTGCCCTCCTCCTCCAGCACTATCTTGATGATCAGTCTGTACATTCCTGCGCTTCGAGGGGTACATCTGCAAGTGATTCAAAGTTGAGAGATCGCTCACTGCGCTCTCAATATCACTTCCGATATTATTGGCAACTAGATTTGTACCATAGAGTCCACAGAACTTGTTACCATCTTGGATTTGATTGTTATTATTATTATTGCACTTCAATCCAAAGCTCCCTAGGTATGACGTGTCACTTGAAGTTGCCCCAATTTGGGCAGCTTTCTGCAGCAAAGCTGTCGCGGACATATTCGCGGAATTAGGTGTTTGATGAGACTGGTGTTGGGTGGTGTACAAGGAAGGAACACTCACAAGCAGCTGACCTCCTCCTGCAGGGTTAGCATTTCTCAAGGGGAGTGAAGTGCTTGTTAGTTCTTCAGCATTATCTGAAGACTTATTGCTTCCTAACATCCAATTCAGCTGAAAATTTGATGGTGGGGGGTTTGAACATGCAACAAATGTGTCACCATATACTGCTCCTGAACTCAGTGACCCTGTCTGATGTATCTGTTGGAGATTGTTGCTCGTCACTTGATCATGATGACCTTGGGGTCCTTGGCCGGTCCACAATGAGAGTCCCCGCGTTCTTGGATCTATGGTTTCATCGTTCGTTGAGACCGGCTTGAAAATGGAGGAGAAATGTTGTGCCATGCTAGGAGGCCCTACTAAAGTTCCCATGAAATGATGATTGATATTGCTTGGTGTTATGTTGAAGTTGGATGCAGCGTTAACTCTAGCCGTTTCTTCTGCTAAGGCATCGCAAAAGGCTCTATGAGTGATGAAGCTATCTCGCCTGCCCACATGGAGTTGTAAACAATTAATCAGCTCCAATTAAGAGAATAGAATGTGGTGAGAAATATAAAACAAACACAGATTGAAGTATCACATATAAAATCAAGTAAATATAAATCGATTAAAAAAAAAAAGAAGAAGAAGACTGCATTAGGAAATTTTGAGCTTCAATTAACTTAGATAACTGATATGGATAATGCAATAAGGGGAATATTAAACAAGATCATTCAATCACGAAAAACAATAGAAAAAGTGCTTGTTAGTAAACAAATGTAAGCAATTAATCAGCTCAAATGAAGAGAATATAATTTGAGAAATATATATAAACAACTTGAAGCATCACATATATAATAAAAAAAAAAAAAACTTGAAAGAAAATTAAGTAATACAGGTACTTCATCAAAGAAGACTGCATTAGCAAATTTTGAACTTCAATTAACTTAGATAATTCATATCGATAATGCAATCAGGAGAATGCACAATTAAACCAGATCATTCAATCAGAAAAAATGATCGGTTAAGAGAAACCCTATATGTAGGTAGGAAAATATTTTGGGTGATGGAAATAAAGTATGTCTTTTTAACAATGGATCGATCTGTATCACTATGACCCCTTTTTTTTATTTTCTTTCTCAAAAATACTACACACATAACTAAGTGTTGTACTGCCTTGGCCACATAGACAAATTATCACAATCACAAGAACACACTTTCATGCTTCATTAGCCTCTGCATAAGTTTTCTGTAGTACACCACTTACCGCGAAAATATAGTCCCACAATCACATTTGTATTCCCTGGTGCCACAAGTTTTGGAGTGGGCTTTCCAGTCTGACTGCACAGCATACCTCTTTGAGCACTTCTCACACTTCCACTTCTTCTCCCCGTGCTTTCGACAGAAGTGCTTCTTTATCCCTGTTAGATCCCCCAGAGCCCTCGAAGGGTGGTTGTGGACACAAGTCTTTTCCGGGCACACATACACGCGCTTCCTGATCTCCTTGCTAGTCCTTTGCTTGAGCTTCCATGGCAGATTGTGTCCTCTCCTATGCAGCTGCAAGTTTTGATCCCTTTGAAACCCTTTCCCACATATCTCACACAAGAATCTGTTAGTGGCCATCAGAGTCTTGGGTGATAAAGCGATTACTTCGGCTTCAGGATCTGTTAATAAAGATAGTGTACAAAAGATTTTAAAATAATAATCTTGAATATCTGAATATACCTCTGATCATGATAAAATAAGATAGATAGACAAGAAAACAATAAAAATAAAAAAATAAAAATAAAAATAAAAAAATTATGTTTGATTGGGAAAAGAGGGAGACTTGCCTGGATTTCCTGGGAGGTTTCTCTTCTTCTTTATGGTGAGAGGATTGGATCCACCAATTGGATTTTGAATGGAACCATTAGAGTTTGCTTCTTCTGCCATTTTTTCTAACATATATATATATATCAATTAAGCTTCTATTTTCAGTTTGATGATTCAATCTACAAGAAGAAAGTAAACCCTATTAGAAGAAAATGTTCAGATGAAAACTACTGAACAGGAATGGTGAGAAAACCAACAGAAAGATACCTTTTGTTATGTTGTCAACCTTATCAGCAGAAGCTGAGATATGATGAACTGGATCCTCTCTCTCTCTCTCTCTCTCTCACACACACACACACATCCAAGGGAGTTTCAGAATAGAATTAAGAGAAAACCCAAGAGAGTGATGGCTTGTTAGGTTCCAAACTTATAAGAGGAGATGATAATGGGGGGATTAGATCTCTCTCTCTCTCACACACATATGTTTGCAAACTTGCAGTCTTTTAACTGCTTTTGGTTTAGAAAAGAATAAATATTTAGTATTTTATGGGAGGCGGTGAAAAAAGTGAAAGTTGGAAGTAAGAGAGAGGTAAGGGGTTGAAGATGAAGAGAGGAGGTAGACAAAGCAAAGCCTAAAGGTGCATGATGACACATATAATGAGGTATGTGGAAAGTGAAGCTACATGCCTTTCCCATTGGAATGATTATCCCATAATTTGAATGCTTTTTGTTTTTATATAAATTTTTAGAATATGCTCTCTTTCAATCCCCACTTTTAATATATTTGTTTATTTTAAATATAAAAATCAGTTTAATTTATGTGCAAAAAACCCACACAAATTTGCCTTTCAATATATTTAAGTTTGTGACTTTTAGATGCAGGTTGTATCTCTTTGATATTGACACCCATTCATGGTGGGATTTTCACCCATGAACTTGTCTTTGTTTATTTATGGGTGTATTCACAGTATTAGGAATCAATTATATTTTCTGATGCATATAGAGCCTAAAGAGAGAGGTGATCACTTTGTTGTTCATATTGACACCCATTCATGGTGGGATTTTCACCCATGAACTTGTCTTTGTTTATTTATGGGTGTATTCACAGTATTAGAAATCAATTATATTTTCTGATGCATATAGAGCCTAAAGAGAGAGGTGATCACTTTGTTGTTCACTTGTAAGGAAATGTCTTTTACTTGTGTACGTAGAGGCATTTTAAAAACCGTAAGTATGGAGAGGGAGCAGTGTGGGGCGGGTCCTCTCTCTTCTTCCCATTTATTTTTATGAAACCTTACTCTAGCTGTATTAGTTCCAACTTTTGACTTCTTTACCTCATTTCAGTTTGGCCACACAAGCTTTGAGATCAACTGGTTTGGACAGAGAGCAACAATTGAACTTGCCAACCAGTATTTCCTGAGGTTACATTTTCCTGTTAAAAAAGAAAAAGTATTTTTATCTCATAACTCACAAACACCATTAAATTAGTTAATGGTTATGGGATAAAATAAAATAAAATTACTTTTAACTCACTATAGCAAGCATTAGGGTTGTTAGTGGTGTGTAGCCTATTCTATAAGTCTCTGAGAGAATGCCCAAAATCCAGCTTTTGAGAGGTTATTGTACGTTGTCTAGTTGTTTCATCTTTATCGAGCCATGTTGTGTTAATTTCTTTAGTTTTTGGCAATAAAATATATCCTAGCTTAATAAAGAAAAAATGTTGAAAACAAATCATTAATAAAAGTAAATAATTCTATAAAGCAAAAATCATGTATGCATAAGAACTTCCAACTTTACACAACAGCAAAACATTAGTGCTCCAAGGTTCATATTAATTAATAGAAACTTATACACTAATTAGAGTAATTGACTTATTTTCAAATTTTTTTGATGCCAATATATATATTATGTCTTTTTCTTCTTTTGTGTGTGTGTGGATATGAATTGAACTGGAGTTGATTTAACTTTAACTTGAGCTCAAAGAATTGATTGATATAGAAATGTGTATATATAATTTTATATATATATATATATATATATATTGGATTAACACGGGATTCCAGAGTGTAAAAAGGCACGCAAGCATGCACGTGACCTACTGTGAAAGCAGATCGACCATTGGCAGTAAAATCCAAAAGAAACGACGAACAAATACACTTCAAAAGGGAATAATCGTCCTTATGACAGTATGTGACCACTGCCATTCCCAACCCCACATTTTTGAAATTTCAATAGATCTATCCACCCACTTATATGACATCACATTCCACTATTTTAAAGTTATTTTTTCCCAGTATTTCAAATATATATATATATATGTCTAAATCTGAACAGTGTAGATGTTAGGAATTATGTTTCAAATTCTCATTATTATTAGTTTCTATTTTAGAGTGTATTTTTATGGTAAGAATTGGACTCTAAGAAATTATAATCCTTGTCCACAAAGGAATTAGATATGTGATTCATAAATAGATACTTAGACTATTGCTGAAAATTATGAATTGAGAGAGATGTAGCCTCATGAGGGAGTACGTTGATGGTAAGAATGAGTTACGGATTTGATAGAGTGAACACTGATGGCGAGAGGGAGTTTCGTGGAGTACACGGAGAACTCGGTCAAGAATTTGTGTGCATTGTCCGGTGTTGAAATTCTCTACTATTGTAATATCTCTACATATATAGTGAATCTCTTCTCATCTGTGGATGTAACCCTGATTTTGGGTGAACCACGTATATATCTTGTGTTGTGGTTTGAATTATTGTTTTCTTTTGCTTCCGCTATGTCCCAACAGTAGAGTGGGTTGATAGGTTTGAGTTACAAATTGCTTATTTAAACGGACATGTGCATGGGTCCAACAGTAAATTATGAAGTGTTTTGAGAGGTCGCATACCACATTCTTATTTATCTAAGTGGGAATTGAACCCTTTTAATCGGCCATTTGGAAGAGGGGATATATACCACTTAGCTAAACCTTTGACGGTAATTTGAGAGTTACAAGTTGCACAAGTCGTAACTTGAATTATAATTTAGGCTGCGTTAAACTTGAGTTACATTTGATAGAAATCTCTAGCTTTCTCTCTTGGTTGGTAGTCTAATAAATTTCAGTTTCTGATAAATTATCAGTCAAGTTATATGGAAGTGATGTGTCGAACAAAAAGAAAGAGAAAAAAAGAAAAAGACAAAAGAGAAAAAGAAGAGAGGTAACTTAACTTCAAACTTAGACACAAATTTGGTGTGTGGTTTTCATCAGGAAGCAATTCAAAAGTAGATCGGTGACCGACAATACCTTTTTTTTTTTCAGGTGATTCGTTTTGAATACTGTAGTTCAATTCATAGTACTAGTGCCCAAGTAACCATTAAATTAAAACACCATTTTTTTTTATTTTTTATGATCTAATTATTGTTAAGTTTTATATATTTATGATTAGTAATTGATATTATTTTTTGTTTGGATAAACTATCAAATTGTAGTAGTTGTTATGAAATCAAATACATATTTTTACATACACAATAACAACACATATTTTACTTGGTTCACTCAAAATTAAGGTTACGTTCAAAGATTACATGAATTTCACTATGATAATAAATAAATAAAAAAACAGTACTAGAAATAGAGAGTTCAGAATGAATAAATATTCTCATATTAAGGCAACATAACAAGTGTAAAAATTATCAAAATATCCTCTAAAAAATTTTGATTGGGGCTAAGCCCCCAAACTCCCACTTTCGTGTAAGGGCTCTGCCCCCATGATTTCTATTAACTTTCCTCGAGATTATATTCGTAAAATTGAGCCATGGTATTCAGTATTTATGATGTTCCACACTATGCTTCAATAGTAAGTAGTGAGAAGTAATAAATTGATGAAGTCTTCGGTAAATTGATAAAATTCTTGAATATATAGTCGTACTAAAAAAAGATATAAAATCTCCCCTTAACTTCAAAGAATTATGAATAGGTGGAGAGTTGTCATGACTCATGACCCTTGGAAAATAAAGAACATGTTTGGTTGAATTTTTTGAATATGGTTTTGAGATAATAAAAAATAATTTTTAGGTAATTATAAAAGAATATTTTAACTCATTTTTCAGAAATTTCTAAACCAACTGAACTTTCTTCCAGTTTTCTGTTTAATTATCAACCCTACATCTCAGAAAATTGAACCAATTTAAACCTAATAAATTGTGTTTTAAAAAATTAAAAAAAAAAAAAAGAAGAGCAAAATAATATAAGAAAATTCGACATAAAAATGTTGGATGATTTGGCTTTGAAACTGCCTTTAATTAAAATTGGGTGCCCTAAGTATAGACAAAAGGGTGAGGGTGGGATGACCATATCAGTTTTCACTAGTATTTGTCATAGTTAATAAAGTATATACTTTAAAAAATAAACATAAATAATAAATAATACAGTAATAATAAAATAAAAATAAAATAAAATAAAATAAAATAAAAGAGAGTTAAGTATAGTTATGAAGTAAGAGATGGGGTTAGAAGACAGCCAGCTGACAAAGGCAGTGAATTTTTGGAAGTGTGGAGCACAGTGTCTACTTGTGGGCTGACTTTATCTGCTAACCCTTAATCATAATCTAATGATGTTTTTGCTTTCTAAAATTTGTTTATTATATAAACTTTTGGAATTTAGTTGTTGAACTCTTGTGGCCCCAGAATATTCTCTCCTTAACCAACAACACTACAAAAAAAAAAAAAAAAAAAAAAAAAAAAAAAAAGGGCCTTCAACTTTCAACCTCCCTTACTCTTACTAAAAGATTCTTCTTCAAAATTAAATCCCCATTTTATTAGTATCTCTCTCTCTCTCTCTGTATATATATATAAATTTATGGGTATTTGAAATGGAAGGGGATTGGGAAAGCAAAGTGTTGTCACCAAGGGTATGTTTGTTTTTCTGGTTGTCTTTTACTATGAAAATGAAGGAAAGCTTACTAGTTAATAATATATACTAATTGTTTTGGGGTGTTATTCTAGGTATTTGCAAAATTCAAGGCATGAACATATTCCCAACTCCAAAAAACAATTCAAAGTTCATGTGAAATTAAATTTTTACTATTCCTTTGTTAATTTCCAGATATATTTGATGGTGCTTATCTCAAGAATTAGGAATGGAATATTTATCTTATAGCATAATATTGTTTGAAAATCAAAAAGGCTTTTGATCATATGATTGTGTGTTTAAATTACATTACTACACACAAGGACAATTAGTTCAATACAAGTGCATATATAATGTTGAAATGTACGTAAAGGGTAGTTTTGTCATATTAAAAGTCAAATGTTGTGTAGGAGGATTTCTTTTACCTCCTGAATAAATATGCCAAAAGAAGAGTAGATTTGGATCAAGGAATCCATTACAGAAATCCACTTGCTTTTGCTTATCAAAAGTTGGAGAATATATGCCTTTTCTGAAACCCTAATTTTTTATTTTTTACCATTATTCCTTTTTCTTCTTCATCTTTATTGATACAAATTGCATATCGTAAGATGAATCACAAGTGAATCCAATATTCTTGCAATCTGAATATATGTCTTTTTTTTTTCTTTTTTTTTTCTTTTTTCTTTTTTGTATCACTGTATTGTCCGAGATGAAAACTTAATTGTCTACGTAGGATGAAATAATTTTGCAATTTTGAAAACTATAAAAGAAGAATGGAAAAAGAGAACGTATGTGTTTGACCTTATCCATATAAGAAAAAAAAATAACGAAGATGCAATTATCAAAAATATATATGACATAATTGACATTGTTCAAGAATTATAAACAAATTTATTCATCAACGTTCTCATGAGAAATTACTAGTCATATAATTTAGTTTAATCAAAAATCTCCAATAAAAAAGTGAAGTTATAAAATTTAAATAGATATTAAAAAAAAAAAAAAAAAAAAAAATTCAACGTGAGTTTTAATTATTTATGGATGCTCATGTCTTCCAATGGACTCTAAGTTTACCTAAATTGACTCAATCAACTCTACATATATAAATAATATATCTGTGTGTGTATATATATATATATATATATATATATATGTATCACATGTACACAAAGGAATTTGATCAAATTGAAAAAGATGATATTTTCTGAGATTATTTTAAAATGAAGTAGCTGACACCAATGGTAGGGTTTGTCAGTAAAGTATTACACTAGCTGCAATGCAACTATGGATCCATAATAAGTTAGATCAACATTGTGTTCTACCTGTACAGCTGGGGGCGGCAAAGTGAAGTTAGCATGTCTCTCATAAATACGAGAAATTATTCGTTGCAACAATCGCAATGCTACATTGCACAACGCTCCGTTGCACAGCATCAACCGTGTAACCAATAATTTCCCTATTCAATACCCACCACTTTTGAGGCTCAATCAACCGGATATTATTAGTTTTCTAGCTTATTCAATGTTATATAATTAAGAAGATTTAGGATTCTCTTTTTGGGTTGAAAAGCAAAGTTAAAGCAACAACACTCTCTCTCTCTCTCTCTCTCTCCCTCTCCCTCTCTAGCTCTCACATATAAAATGAACCATGTTTGTGATAGTATAGAGTCTATAGACCATATTATTATGATTATCATAGGATATTAATTTGATGTCCTTTGTTTGGAACAAAGTATTGGACCATCCAATTAATAAAACCTAGAGAGAGAGTGAGAGAGTTGACCAAGTCAATGTAGGTAAAATTAAAGTCCATTAGAAGACATGAGCACGTTTGTTGTGCCATGTAAAAGAAGTTTGAATCGATTAATTTGTTTTGTCTTGTTCTACGACGTTGTATACGCTTTTGATAATTGCATCATATGTAAAGAAACTAGCTAGTGATCTTCTTCTATTAAGGAAAATTCTCAACAGTCCAATTTCAACCGTGTATCAGCATTTTTCTATTAAATTATTAATTAATAAATAAAAGTAGTCAAAAACGGTATCCTTGAGTAGGTATCAATATATATATAAAGAAAAGAAGTAATTCTAAGGGGCGCATAACGGCGTTGGTAGGGATTCCGGAAGTAAGTTCTTGAGGTCTCTCTTTCGAACCGTACTCCTGACTTGAATAGTACATGTGATGTAAGACCGATACAATTACTTTAAAAATAAATAAATAAATAAAAGGAAAGGAAGCAAAGTTCTACTCTTTGCGAAGAGGAAGAGAGAAAGGATATCACCCCTTGGTGGTTTTGAGATTGGTCTGGAAAATGATATTTTTACCGAAATATCTGACCGATTATTTTGGCAGAATTTATGTGGCCTGTCCAGCTAGGCCACTTCCATCTCTTTCTCTCTCATATCTTCTTTCTCTTTTCTATTTTTTTTCTCATTCTATTTCTCTCTCTAATAACTCACTCACCGGGAAAGAAGCAAGAAGTGGGTCGATCTGTTCTGAAGCTGGTTCAAAGACTACTTCCCTCTCTTTCTCTCACCTTTCTTTACTTTTCTGATTCTATTTCTCTCTAATATATATATATGAATATGACATATGATATGTAGTTGTAACCATACCTTAAAAATCAAATGTTGTTTCTTTCTTCAAGTTAAGATGGTAAGAAATATTATTTGAAGAGACTAAACGAAGAGGGAGAGATTTGATAACTATCAAAAGAGAAGAACTTAACCTAGAACTTAACAATCTGAGAAAGTTGAATCTGTGGACGCCTATATTGTTTCTCTTTTTATTTTATTTTATTTTTTTTCCTTTTTTAAATTGTTAAAATTGCTTACCTGGACTGGCATGTCTATTCTGCCAAACTAATCTGTCAAAATCATCGGCCTGTCTATCACGACCCTTAGAGATATTCACATAGACTAAAGCTCAAAATGGTACAAGACCAAAACAGGCCCATGGCATTTAGCCTTTGGGCTACACCATAAGTACTCACCTTAAAAATAATAATAACCCTGTGATATCTCTTTTATCTTTCAAAGTATAAGGTGAGGTTCCCTTTCGTGCAAGATAAATTGGTGGGTGAGTTTCTTGCCTTTTAAAGTAGAAAGTGACTTTCCCTTTTGTGTGAGACAAATGAATGTATGAGTTTGAAAAAAAAATAGTAAAATTTAAATCTTAAATGGAGAGTAAAGAGCTTTTTACCCATATTTCTTTTTTGCTCAAATAAATAAATAAGTGTGTGTGTGTGTTGGAAATGATTTTTAAGCCCATTTCCCGAACTGATGTGGATAGTCAAAAGAGTTTGCATCCCTTTAATGCACCCGACGGGACTTATACTCGTGTTTATGCACTGCATCAAAAGGACAAATTCTCTTCCGTCACACATCAGCTAGAGAAATAAGTCCGAATAGCATTGTTCATATAAATTAACTTGGCAAGAACCTTGGCCTTTTACTTTTTAAAGTGAACAAATAACAGTAGCTATAAGAAATATAGAAGAGGAAGTTGAGAATGCCCAATAACAGGAGCCCCATGAAAGGCCCAACAGCCTAGCCCAATACCAACCGCAAACAAGAAACCCGACCAAAACAGGCTCTCAGAGCAACCCAACAAACCAGCCCACGGATGGATCAAGAGCATACCCCACTGAAACCCAACCGAGTGAACTCTTGCAGTCTAATTCTAAAGAAAAATGATAGAACACCCGAAAAATATTCCCGAAATAATCACCGAATCGTGAGGTGGATTGGCCGTGTTAGAGTTTTAAGAAGAAAAAAAATTCATGTTTGAACACCCCCGTCTTTTAGATATAAAATAAGACTCCATATTTCAGAAAAACTTCTAAGTAATTTGGAAATTTTGTAAGTCTACCACTCTAACTTTCTCTAGACTTTATAGACTTGGGATTCCATCTGATAGACCATAAAGATTTATACAAAACATTATCAAAACTATATAAAAAAATTTAAAAAAATTCCAATTTCTTCGATTCTATCATCACCATGTCGGTTTCATGTTTTGCCCTAATTTTTGCTTTCAAAAATTGTGAGAGAGAGTATCGATTGAATAGCTTTTGGAAAAGAAAACTCGTTACAAAGCCTAGAGCGAGTGTGAATCCCGGATCGATATTGTTATAAGAATGTGTTCTTAGTTAGCTTTTTTAATTTGTGAGAACTTATATATATGTGTATATATTTTTTTGTATATATATATATGTGTTAGATTTGTGTATTTAACCACCACATCTTCACACAATTGTCTTTCTTTATCCACTATCATTGAACAGACTGTTATTCTTTTATTTTTTCCTTCAATTTATGCGAAAAATTATAGAGGAAGTTTATTATCTGACTCTTACCTTTTAAGGAGTTTGACGTGGCCAAACCAAGTCACATTTCGGTGACTATTTTCAGAGATAAAAAATTTCGGTTGCTCTATCACTGTCCAATTCTAAATCACAGAAAGTGAAAGCATAAATACAAAAACGACAAAATTTAAATGCGGGAGAGGAAGCATGAGAACCGACTTAGCTATAAATCCTAGTCGCTCTCCTACCTCCGCCAGAAATTCTTTACAACAAGGACTTGTCATTAACAACTTTGAATCTCATTGACACCAAACTCACTCCAAAATATCTGCCTGGTAGGCAACTCTCCATTTTCAAAACCAAACAGCTCTTTAATTTGATTTCGCGTGTGGCCTACAACAACTGAACTTAAATCCCTTTTTTTTTTTTCGATTAAAGGAATATAGAGAATTACATTAATATTACAATTAGAAGTATCGAACCAACATTTTGAAATTAAAAATTGAAAAAAATTCCTCATTTTTAATTTTTTTCTCTCAATTTATTGCTCAAAATGGAAGTGGTGCAAACTCCAACTCGGCATTTTAGTGTAAATATGTGTTTTTTTATATATTGATTAACACATCCAAAATTGATTGAAATTGATAACATTTATAAATCCTTGTAATTTTTCTCTACAATAGAATTAGATCCCAACTTCAAACAAGAAATTGAAGACAACAAAACAAAAAAAAAAAAAACAAAACAAAACAAAAAAGTCAAAATTTTCCTCCACATAATTATTTCAGAAGGGGCATGAAAAAAAAAAAAAAAAAAAAAAAAAAAAAAATTCAAAGCCATAAAGCCCCTGCTTCTTTCAAAATTGGAATCAACTCTCCGGTAATATGAGTGGCCATGATCCTCTCCAAACCCCCAAACAACCGTCCGCCGATGAACACCGCCGGAAACTGCAACCCGCCATCTTTTCCGTCCACACCAGCCGAACTGATCACGACCTGCAGCTCCTCCACCACAGCAGCCTCATCGTCTTCATCGACGTCGAACACGGCTGGATTGACACCCAGACCCTGAAGCAAACGCTTCACCACATGGCTCATGCAGCACCCTCTTTTACCAAACACAATCACTGCGTTCTCTTCCACCAATTTCTTCACATACTCTTTTGTCCCCTTATCAACTCCACCATTAACAGTCTCTGTTTTCGGAGGCGATCGGTTGATTGGGGTTTGTGTGGAAATTGGTTGCCAAGTCTTGTAAGGGATTGCCTCCTGCATGGTGTATATATGTATGATCTGATTGATCTTTAGAGAGAGAGAGAGATGAGAGAGAGAGGGAGATGGAGGAGAGATATAATGTAAATATATATAGAGATAGGGATGTGATGATGGTGGTGGTGGTGGTGGTGGTGACTTGAAATTGAAAGAGTCCGGCGTCAACGGTAGTTATGGTTTCTTACGCGTTACATATGTTGTGGCTTACGTTTAATTATGTCACCCTGTTTTTGCTCTGTCTCTATTGGGTACCCCATTTGCTACTTCACATCGAATATGACACATCGACGCACACACCTCTCTCTCATATATATATATATATATATATATATATATATATATATATATATACATGTATGCAATAAAATTTGAATGGTGATTTAAGATGACTTGTTTTGTTGCAAGCCTAGAAAAGGTCTAGCCAATGCAATCATGCTTAGCTAAGCAAAAGATATTTATACTAATTTTTCAATTTTTAATCTTAATTCGAGTTTACATCTAGATTAAAAACTATTATCTCTAGTAACTTACATGATATAAATCATTTTTAGCTTCTTGTCTACTTATAAACTCTTGTACTTCTTACTGTACTATGGAATGCATGTAAGGGCATCAAACCCATTGGTATAAACCTCTTCATCCTTAAAAGAGGATTCTTTGTTTTGCATAGAATTAAACCACATGTTCCAGTGCTCGTGTGAGCTCTCGTTTAGGGACGGACCTACATTATATTAGTAAAAATAATAATATCATTATTGCCCCCCACCTAATGTTCTGGGTCCTTGCTCCCGTCAATTCCTTTGAGTTTCATTTTTGCGAATGTACTCTCCAGGTTGCGAACGTACTCTTTAGACACGATACTTAATGCGTTAGCTCCAGGCACAATACTTCATGCGTTAGCTACAGTAATGCACGAGTTGATACGCACAACACCTAATATTCATAGTTTACGGCAAAAAGTGTGTCAGGTGTTTCTTCAGTAAAATGTTTCCATTTCTTAATATATATATATATATAAAACAAGCTTGTTTCCTTTTCGGTAACCACGAGTATTTTTTTTTTTTTTTATAAACAAGCTCGTTTCCTTTATATATATATATATATATATATATATATTTACACGTGACATCTACTAGTGAGATACATGCGTGAATATATGCATGTAGATATCCATATACAGGTCCGTTTCATTTTTCTCGATAGAATAAAAGTCCAAAGTTTATTTCTTTTTTTTCTGGTAAAACACATATGACGACCTAGCTATGCGGGCGGGCGTGAATAGGCATTGGGCGAGCTACCACATTGAGTGAGCTACATATGGCATATTCCACATTGCCTGGTTAAAGAAAAGGTAAAGTACTTGTACGTGGAGGTATTATCTCCAAATGGTTTACCTTTTTGGGGTGAAATTCAAGAATAAAATCATGCGGGCTCGCGCCCAAAACATACAATATCATACAATGTAGTAGAGTGGATCATTACAAATGATATCAATGTTGGGATTTATATGCCTTAGTATAGCAAATTCCTATTTGGATTATAGTGACATATGTTCCTGACGTTTCTGAAATATTTATACTTGATACAATTGGTGAATTCAATGTACTTCGATACAATATAGAATTGATAGTGTCCATTTGATTACAAGAGATATTTATATATGTATGTGATGGCGATCAATACATGAATATAAATAGTAATCATAAATTGTTTATAGTCGATAATTATGGATGGACTCATAATTAATTAAGACTTGAACTGGATCTGCGTTAGGTTGAGATATATTACGAGAGCCGTCATATGCAATTATTCCCTATCACCGTCATAGCATTTGACTCTTAAGCATGAGAAAAGTATAAACTGTTTTATTAATTAATAATTACTTTGATTTGTTCGGCGGATACTTCGGGATCCTTAGACCGACACTTTGGGTAATTATATAATTAATAGTTAAAGGGTTATATTTTCAATATTTGCATCATTACTATTTGTATTTATTTTATATTGATTATAGTTGATTACAAAGTAAATTCGAAGGCCTTCGTATGTTTTTAGACAAAATGATTTATTATATATTTATTTATTTAAATTATTATTTTTATCAAACAAATGTTTTATTGTGATCGAGTCAAAAATAATCAAAGTTACCAAAATAAATATATTAATTAAGTAGTTGAATTGATGGCTTTATTTCTCCGATAACTAATTATGCATAGAGGGGTCAAAGTGCAACATTGACTTAGAGGTTATTTATTCATTATAGCCAATAAAATAATAAGCCCAAAGGATTCTCATCCATAACCCAACTTGATATTGGAATCCTATTAGATTTGAGACATGTGAATTAAAGATTGAGAAGGATTTATTATTTCATTTTCCTTATCTTTTTGTTGCCTATATATATATATGGTATATGTATATTTTAGGGGTGATTTTTTTAGTAGAAGGAAAAAAGAATATATTTTCTCTCTCTCTAGAAAATTAGGGTTAATGTTCTCATTTAATGAAGGGTCCCACAAGCCTAGTTTTTCAAGGTTATTCATAGAGGCTTATGAGTGATTCCTAAAGGCAAAACAATTACCAAGAAGATGGAGATCTAAGAAGAATGCATCTTGTTAAGGGATCTACAATAAGTGAGAACATTCACTTTAGAGGAAAGATTTAAAAGTTTACTCAGACCTTTGATGTAAGTATTCAATTTATTAATTGAATGATACATCATATTTTATTTTTCCATAAAACTTGTCTCTATATGATGAATCAAGATCTATGATTCAAAATCCCTCGAAAAGTTTCAAAAACTAGCATGTTTCCCAACAATCAGAGTATGACACAACCGAAAGTTTGTCGACGAGGATATTGAACCTCTTAGGAGGGTGGATTGTGGCGACCTATATGGGCGGGTGTAAATATGCATTGGGTGAGTTATAATTTTCACAATCTCACACCATCTAAGTAAAACAAATGGTATGAGGCATTTTGGAGTGAAACCCAAAAGTAATACCATGCGGGCTCAGGTCCAAAACATACAATGTCATCCCATCCGGTGGAGTTGGTTGTTACAAATGGTATCATAGACTGACCAGCGAAAAGTGTAGGCATTGGCGAGTTACAAGTTGCACAATCCTACATTGTCTAAGTAAGAAAAAAATGAAGTGCTAATAATAGTACGAGCCTCAATGGAGGCAATAACAGCTCTAGAGATTCTACCAGCGATCCCAAACAAGCACTAAGCCATACTTTTTTCTATAAAAGACTAGTAAATCCTATAAATTTTTCATAAGACTAATAAGTCTTTCTTTAAAATCTGTTTTCATCTAAATTATGAAATACTCAACTTTCAACTTTATAAATTTACCAAATAGAAGTAAAGTTTTACAATTATAGTTTATATTCTAAAATTGATATGTGGTATTTTTTTTTTTTTTTTTTTTTTCTATGTTCTTTTGCGTTTTAGTTAGTTAGTAAACATTAAATTATAAATTTAATTATAGTTCAATTTCAAAAATCTTTTGTAAATTTTTTGGCAATCATTTTTAATACTTAAAATTAAAAATTAAGATATTATAATTTATTTTAATTGAAACAATTTAAATAAAATGTATCCTTTTAAAAAAATAAAGAATGAAAAAGATCTAATCGCTAATAGAATTAAACATGTTTAAATATGGCTTACATATCAAATTTGTTTTAGAAATTATAATGGTAAAATTTAAATTCTAATTTAGTAAGCATAAGTGAAAATTTGAACTTAGTAATAATAGTAAATATGGCTTACATATCAATTTTTAAATACTAAAGATAAAAACAATAGTAAAGATAACCATAAATTTTTAAGCCAGAAGTGTCGCATTAAATTTTGTTTAATTGCATTAATTGGAATTGTGCGCACTGTGTGAATATTAGACAAAGGGAGCCGCTCACGGGCGGTGCGCGAAATGCGTACGTCAGCTAAAGGACATATTTGGCTATGTGTGTGCGTCGGCCACTATGTTGATGGTGGGTGTGGACCCTCCACGTATCACCTACAACGTCATCCTCATCTGCTTCGACCTTGTCCGTTTCGACGTAATAATGTCGTGTCTCTATCTTCCACGTGGCACCGAGGACTTCACGATCGGCTGACGATTGCCGACGAAATACAACGACATAGAACCACTTGACTAATGAGAAATTATGAGATCGTCATGGATCATGTTGTCCAGGATTTCCTCCATCTTTAGCGGTGCAGTTTCACGGCACGGGTTAATTTGGGTCGTTTGTCGTTTGTGATATGCAAGTGTCAGTGCATGTTATTAGTTAGGTATACAGTATATCGGGCACATCAAATATTTATTCTTAATTGTAATAATATTGTATACTTTTTGATGCACAAATATTTGATTTTTTGAAGTCATTTTTAATTATTTCATTTCATTTCATTTTGATTTTGATTTTTCTCGTTGTGTTTTACCTTTTATGCAAACTAATCTTTTTCTTTTTATTGGGGATCAAAGTGTTTACATTTAGTGTGTCAATACCATTTGGTTCATCATACTCTCGAATCCTGCTAGTAATATCATAATTCATTCTATATTTTTTATAATAATTATTTAAAGCGTTGATTAATCTTTTAGTGCTAGTTTGATAAAAAGGAATAAAATAAGGTTGGAATGAAATGAGAATTCTCTCATTTGGTTATGCCCTTAAAAAGAAAAACTATCTATATATATATATAGATAGTTTTTCTTTTTATATAGATAGTTTTTCTTTTTTAAGGGCATAATATATATATATATGTAAAACAAATATATATATATATATACACATATATGCATAAATATATATTTTCTTCTTTCTCTTTTCTTTTTTTAATTTTCCAAACACGATATATATTTGGAAACTGAGAAAAGAATGTCAAGAGAAGTTGCCTTTTATTGGATCTCTCTCATCGACATGAAAATTTACTCTCGTTTCTTAGTCAAGAATACAATTTCAATGACATGCATCTGTCTCATCAACATATGTCCATGTTTTATCGCCTATCATTGTCCATTGATGCAAATTGCCGACTTATTGGTCGTCCAACGACTTCAATGGATGCAAATCGCCAGTTGATATCAAATTGGTCGTCAATAGACTTCAATGGATCAAATCACTGCCTAATATCAGATCGGTCTACTTTAATGGTTAATTTCCGACTGATTTTGAATTGGTCGTCAATTGACTTTAATGGCTAATTTTGTGCTAATTTCGAATTGATTGTTGACCGCAGTTAATTTGGTCATCAATGTTGTTTAACATTGATTGTCTTCAATGTGGATTTCGTATTTTTCCATTCCTATTGTAAAAAGGGAAGAAAATAGGTATTTCATCTTTAAAATTACTTTTCAAACAAATGAATGAAATTAAAAGTATTCGATTCCACTTTAGAGTCTTGGATTGCTATTTTGGTAGTATTGACTTTCGATTTTTATTAAATTTAAATTATATATATGTGCTAGTTTAAACACAAGACAGTTTCTTTTTCGATATAATCTTTACATCGGATAATTTTATCATTTTTTTTTCTACAAAAATAAAATAAAAATATATATATATAATTATTACGTAATGGTTGCGATCAGGTCCATTCTTCCTTGACATAACATCTACAACACCTAATTTTCTTACACGTCAATAATATATATATATATATATATTAGTTGGACCAACAAATGATGTGCACCGAAACAACACGCAATTTGACGTCCTAAATCAATTAATCATCAGATGGATTATAATTCCTCTCCGGGACATTATATTTAGCTAAACAACACACACAAAGAAAAATAAATAAATAAATAAATATTAAGAAACTATGTATTGGTTGATGGGTTGACGAATGTGTGGTGTGAAAATTTTGCTCAAAGGAGGCGGAAAGGCAAAGAAAACCAAAGGCCCAAACAACTGTAGGCTTTAATTAAATCCATTCAACCCCCAAAGTGGGTCAATATAATATTTCTATATATGTAGCATAGATATATATAATTCAGAATTGTGCTATGAAGACCAAAGTTGATTATATTCTCCTAAATAATTGAATATAATAACAAGTGAAGTCCAGTTGTTATTTAAAATGTATAAGAATTCTTCATTATTATTATTATTATTATTTTTTATTTTTTTTTGTGCGCAAGCAATTTGCTTCTAGAATTCAGCTAAACATTTGTAAGTTAGATCTTTGGATTAATTATTTATTTTAGCAACATGTTAGTTGGCAACTAAAATTACTTATCTTACTTAGCCAACAAAGAAATTAAAGTGTTTTTATACTTAAAAAAAAAAAAAAAGGTAATTTAGAGGTTTAAGTTTGTATTTACTATATCCCTTTTAATATTTATGATTAGTAAGAAAATAGTGTGAGAGGAAAAAATGGAGGAAGTAGGAAGGAAATAGGACATTGGGGGAAAATCTTTATCATTTGCCTACCAAAAAAATTTGAGTGCAATGGAAGGAAAAGATGAGGACAATTTCCCCCACACCCACCATTTGCTTTCTAGAGAAATTTGAACGGAAAGGAAAAATGGAGAAGACAAGGGCCTTGGTTTGTAATTCAACAATTTTTTTTTAAAAAAAAATCAAAAACAGAAAATTATACAACAAAAATTCCTGTTTTCTTCAGTTTTCTAAAAATCGTTTTCTAAAAACTAAGTTATAAAAAACCTATTTTCAGATAACTTTAACTACAATTCTCAAAAATTCAGAAAACAAAAAACTGTTTTCAGATAACTATAAAAGACAATTCTCTGAAAGTATATTTTTTTATAACTGAGTTTATAGAAAACTGAACCAAACAAAGTTTTCTGTACAGTTTTTTTTTTTTTCAGAACAATTTTTTGTTTTCAGTTTTCTAAAAAAAAAAAACTGTTCCCCGAATCACAAATCAAACATGCCCCCATCTTTTATAATTATCTTAAAACAATAGTTACAAATCAAGCGGACCCTAATTTTTTTTCATTTACTCTTCAATAATTTTTAATTTAATTTTTTAAAAATAGTAAAGCAAACGCACACCCTTTTGTGAATCCATGGACTCAAACTCAAACAATACTTTTGTAGAGATTGGAATCATCTACTTTTCATAATCGAAGCAAGGTATTGAGTGGACAAAAACCCAAGGCTAACGCTACACAATCTTTCATATCCCACTAGGAAAATTCTGTTGAATAGAAATTTGAAACATGTATGGTACCCATTGAAGACAACCCTATTTGGGATTCAAAAAACAAACAAAACACCGTAAAAGATTTTCCACCCCCTTAATGGCCCCCCATACTTGAAGATCAATTAAGGATCCCCTCCACTTCAATCTTGTATATAGTCCCATCACCATGTCTCCCTATTCTTTTCTTTTTGACCCAAATGTTCTTGTCAAATGATGATATATTCTTAACCACGATTGATATTTGTTTGTTGGTTTGAGTATCGAAAGTTCACCGACCAACTAATTGACCGATTGGTAATTGTTTCTATGCCAGCTTAACATTTTGAAGACCGAGATTTCAAATTTCACTAAATTACTATTGGGGGATTTTTTTTAATAATTGTCCGATACAAATGTAATAAGAGGAGGATCACATCTTCTCGAATGGTATTGGGAGATTTCAAATTTCACAGTCACAGTTGAATTGCCTACTAAATTATCATTGGATAATTTTTTCGATAATGGTCCGATACACTAATAAAAGGACCACATGTTCCCCAATGGTGTTGGAAAACAGGGAAATGTAATTCAAACACATACAGTAAACGTGAATATCATTCCAAAGAAGCAAAACAAAATGTGTTTTTCAATGCCATCTAAAATTCTAGATCAATTTGACTCACTAATTTCACACGTTGGTCAAATATCATTATAAGTTGAATCCAAGTAGAATTTAAAACACGTGTAGAAATATTTTTAATCATTTGGTTAATCACTCACAATGATTTGAGTGATTAGCATTTACCTAATAAAATCTATGAAGTATTAACAAAATTATAAGTATTATTCTAACTTGCACTAGTCCGTAATTCTTACAAAAGTCATTTCCAATGTCTCATTTTGAAGTAGTAAACCAAAATTGTTAATCTAGGCCTTCAATTGGAATATACCCATTTCAAGATATACCTTCAATTGGAATATACCCATTTCAACATATAGACTATGTAAAAAAAAATAATGATTTAAGAACCGAATGGAATTCAATTTTTGTTAGTGTGATAGTAATATGATTATATCATGTGGAATGAGATCCACTATCCTCTCAACTAAATTGAATACGAATTCGGTCTCGTGAAAACCGTTTGATAAGTAGACAATGATAAAGTAAGACCAGATGAACTGTATCACGGTTTATTCGGAAGTATCAAATCGGAGCCTTAGAATTAAATTTCTCCAATTCCAGACACGATGCACATGTAACATAAATATTTTTCTGCACCATATAAAATGAAATTACACGAGTTTCTCTCCCAATTTTAGCATGCAAAGAGATTCGCCCTTTGAATCTCTACAAATGTAACAACATGAAATTACTATTTTAGACATCTTTAAGAGCCTGCTAATCATGAAATAATGAACCTTTAATTCAGGTTCAAATCATAAAACAGCCAAAAATTGCACAAAAATATATCAAACTGATTCTGGATCTCAATTAGGTGGTGTTTTATAATCCAATTCACCACATAATTCTGAATGAATCAAGTGCTTATCAAAAGTAAGTGTGTGTTCGATATCACAATTTCAACATCACTTAAAAAGATAAGCTCCACTTAAAATCAGATAAAATTTCAAATGCTAGTGACTTCACTTGTCACTGAATGCTAAACACTTTAAATTCAAAAAGACATCTAAAAAACATAGTAATTTTTAATTTACCACATAAACTTCAACACTTAAATTCAGATTCTAAAAGTTTCAACACTTGACTTTCAGTGTCATCAAACAACTCCCAGGTCTCAAGAGTTTCCAAAAGAGATTCAGCTCTCCCCCATTTACATAGTTTCTCAGCATTTATCAAATTTTCCTTCCATCCAGAGAATCCAAAAACAAACAGAATAATTTAACATGTCCTCCATGCCAATTACATGTAATATTTTCCCGCTACTGAACAATTCGAAACAAAAGTAGAGGGGGAGAAGTGTCTAAAACTTGATTTGCTTATTTATTTCTTACCTGTGCTGTCCAATTCCATTTCCTGAAGGTTCAGTAACAGATTGTCGGAATTCAAGAGAACCTTGTTGGCTGCATTCGACATTGTGTGCGAAATTTCTCTAGCTGCTTCAATTTTCCTCAGTGTGATAAACGCCGGATTGTTGGCAATAGCTTGTCCGATCAGCTGGGCACTCTTTGCCTCTCCCTGGTAACCACAGAGTAGGATGTGTGTTAATGGGGGGAAAAACCGCTCAACATTTGAACGTCTTTTAAGTATATAAATAAATAAATATAAAACAAACAAAATGTTCGATTCCACGTGAAAAGATGTTCCGAGATATGCATTTGCTTTGGTCAAGGGGAAACAAACTCAATACTTGAATGCAATTAAGCAGCAAACAAAAAAGGTAAGGTTGCAAAGACTTGGAAAAATTGCAACCACCAAATTAAATATGGTTCAAGTTCCTCTCGGTTCATCCAAAAAAATCATCAAAATATGGTTTAAATAAAATAGAGAGAGAAACTCCATTCAGTAATTTATTTTCCCGTCCTCTGCCCCAAAAACAGCCCCACCCTTAAAGAAGAGAGAGAGGGGGGGTTGAAGTAAAAATCTTTTATAGAGTAAGAAAGAAAGGTTCTTATTATGATAGTAAGTGGCATTAAAATCTCAGACCACACTCGGGAAAAAATCCTTCCCATCACAGCTGATGAACACTTTAAGTTCAAAACCACCTTTTGGCAACAACTTTCATTCAAGTATATATCACAGTCTAAAAGTATGAGATTCAGTATCTTTTACTCACCTGAGCACGGATAATAGCACTTCTCTTGTCTTGTTCTGCTTTTTCCACAACAAATTTGGCCCTCTCGGCTTCTTGCGCAGCCACCTGTTTGGCTTCAATTGCAGCTGTAAACTCCCTTCCAAATGTTAGGCTTGTGATGGACACATCATCAAGTGCAATGTTGAAATTGGCTGCCCTCTCTGTCAATATCTTCCGTATTTCTCGGCTAACAGCCTAAAAATAACAAATAAGTTCCTGAATACTCAAAATAAACAAGAAATTTCCCTACCATTGTACACACATTAAATACCAAGAAGCCAAAATACAGGAAGGAATATAATGTTGGGTTTATTGCAGAAAAATCCATCCAAATATTACCTAATTTGTATGTAAACCCCCCCACCCCAAGTAAACTTCCATTTTACTTGGAAACCCTGAAATATCCAATTTTTTGCTAACTGCCCTTCTAAAGGGGTAAAAAAAGTCAATATACAGCGTTCTTAACGGCAGAGCAAAAGTCTTTCACCCATTATAGTCCAGGGGGTTAAGTGAAACTGTAGGGGGTTATTTCCAACTTGGGTAATAATTGGAGGAAAAGAAGGGGGAAGGCAGTGTTCGCTATTAATCCTATAATCTTTGCAGCAAATTATCAAATAATAAAGGAATTACTTGAATCACTTTCCAAAGAACAGCTTTCTGGTATCCAAAAATTGGAAATCAGTAAAAAGTTCAAAAGTTCGTTTGGTTGCTGAAATCTCTCTCCGGAAATTCAGGTAAAAAAATGCCAGTATTCTATATTTTGGAGTTCTCTGAAAACTGTTTTTAGATAATTAACCAAACAGGCCCAAACTCTTCCATGAACTTAACTGTCAACAAATGACAAGACATTGCAAGTCTCAACAACCTTGCAACACGAATCTCAATCACAAGCAAAGCTCAAAATTTAAAATTGGTAATGCAAATTGTCATATAGTAACAGTGCAGCTGCCTACCTCTCTCTGAGTAATAAGTTGGCTGGCATTATATTGTGCAACCACAGCTTTCAAAGTTTCATGAATAATTGAAGGCAAAACTCTTTCATTGTAGTTCTCACCCAAAGTACGATAAACTGTAGGCAACTGGTCCGGCACAGGACGAGTTAGAACTCGAAGACCTATCTTCACCTGTGCAGCAAAACCAAAGATCAGAAAGTATGAATAAAAAAATAACCAAAGATTACACTTAAGAAACATTTGAACTACAAGATTGTTTAGAAAACCACAAGAATTTCTTTTATACAAATGAAACTACCAAAACAAATATACACACTTCTGGAATGTGGTTATTAATCAGCCATTACAAGAAATTTGTTATACAACTGACACTACCATAAATATTCATATTTCTGGAATATGGATCTTAATCAGTAGTAGAAGCACTTAAGCAGGCTACATATAGCTATAAAACTCCAAAGAGATAATGCCACAAGGGACATGAAGAACATCAAAGAACTTACTTTTTTCCATGACATAGTTCTGGGAGGACAATTGATATTTTACAAGAGACCCCTTCGATGGTTTGATGTCGGCCAAAATAAAGTGCTATTAAAGAAGTATAGAAATTTCATATTTCATAAAATGTCAAAAAATTGAATGAAAAACATTGGATCAATCATGACTGTCACATGTATAGCGCAGATATCTTAGAAAATAAGAGTGCCCAAAAGATGCTACAATAAAGTATGGTGCAGGTTTTTCACCCGCGAGGATCATGGTTCTGAAGTGCTGATACGTACTTTAAAAAAAATTCATACGTGTATTTTATGTTAAAAATTCATACGTGTACTTTTAAAATATGCATACGTGCTTTAAAAAAAATTCATACGCGTATTTTACGCTTATCATCCATATAAATCCCGTTACATGAAGCTACCGTTTCGTACAATAATGAAATACTGGCTCAAAAGCTATATAACACTATGCTATTACATCCCTAACCCTACTGTCCTATATCACCCGACTCTTGAATAAAAAGTTCTAAGTCACATTTTGCTGTTGTCAAAACCACCAGCACGTGTTGTCTTACAACATCATCACCATCATCTGCACCCCTCCTTGTTCCCAACAATCAACTTTCCCAAGTCAACATCATCACTCATAAGAAAGACGGTACCCCTCTCGCTCACTCCATTCATTCTTTATTTTCTTGGAGACAATAAAAAAGAATCTAATATTTCACTATCAATATAAATAAAGGAAAAGGAATTGGATAGGTTCAAACTCCTCAAACCTTTAAACTTCCCCCAAATTTCCTTGAACGTTTTGTTCAATAACTTGATTATACGAAACTGTCAAGAGTTTTGAGGAACTTTTTAAAGAAAATAAAAGGTTTCAAAATCCTTTATAACCGACTGTATGCATTCTTGAAACCATTACGGCTACGAAATTGGAACTGGAAACAAAGTCAGAATAAACAATCTAAGCATGAAAAATTACTCAACGAAACTATAAATGTGCCAGAAATACAACAGCACATATATATTCTATTAAAGGAGGGTCATAACTTGAAAATTGTAGTGTACTATGTCCACTTTTCTACGATGCAGTGCTAAACACAGCTTCTTGGTGCCATTGTCAACGAACACGTTTTAAAACTGCTTATCATCTGAAATTACTCTGTCCTCTTCTCTATGATGCAGTGATAAACACCGATTCTCGGTGCAATTGTCAACTAAGTTTTTTTTTTCTCTCTAAAAATTTCCCCAAGCAACACATTTTAAAGGTGCTTATCAACTGGAATTCTTATTCAAGAAAGCCACTATCGCTGGAAAGACCTTTACATATTGCAGGACAAGTTAGTGCTTCCCAATTCAACTCTTAACTAAGGCTTTGATTTAACACTTTTTGTTTAAACATATGTAATAGAAGAAAACTAAAGTCCAAGGTGCACAATCATCACTATCATCATCCTTATCTTTGTCAAAAATGAATGGAGTAGGCTACATGAATTCTCTTTTTCAATTCAGTCCAAGGTGTACAATGTTCCAATAATAAGCCTCAAAAGACTATATACCACGACCTACTCACACAAGTAAGGCCATGAAGTTCCCCTTCATACTTGCACTGGAACTAAAAAAGTGACTCAATTATGACCCAATCATAATGGACTAAAGTTGCTTGATCCCGATTTTCTGCTTCTAGAATTTCTCTCTTCACAAAACAACAAAAGAGGTAAGAAAAGAGAAGATAACCATTATCTCTGTCTTTTAGGGTTTCAATATTTCCTAGCCTACCCCTTCACAAGCTCCCAAATAGAAAGAAGCATAGCAATCCCCCAAAATACTGGGCCATAATTTGAGACAAAAGAGGCATTATACAAAAAGATGGCCTTAGATCCTCCTTGCAAGTGAGTAACAAATTGGAAATTGTTCCCCCTACCAAACCACCGACCAAAAACAGGAAAATATATATATATAAAACAAAAGAGAGAGAGAGCGAGAGGATGATGAGGAAAGGGGGAAGTATACGGAGAGAAGAATAGCCAACAAAAATGGAGTAGAAGAAGTTACTGCAACCCAGAAAACTATCATGCAGATACAAGGACTAACAACCAAAGAGAACAAAATAGCAATACAAACATGTTCATAGTAACATCTAAACAATCAAAAACTAACAAGAGAGAAAGGCAACGTTACTAATAATATAAAATATAGAACCCTCCTTTCAGAAAAGAAGTCCTCTCTAAGTTAGTGCAACTAAAGAAATGAGGATGGTATTATAAGGATGAGTAATTGATAAAGAATGCCATAGGATGCAAAGAAAAAGGTACTTCCAAGAGGCGGCACCAGAGGCATCACAACATCAAATCACAATAAGAAAATCTGATGTAGAATTTCATCATTTCCAAACAGCTGTAAGAAATATGATAGTTCTAAGTTCTAAAAATAAAAATATATACAAAATTGGGAGAAGAAAAAAAAAAAAAAAAAGATTCCCCTCATGAGTAAGATGCTTTTAAAAAATGAAACAAATAAACTGTTCCAATGTGAGTTCAACATTTGCAGCAACAAATTCATGTGCAAAAACTGAACACGATCAAAACAACAAAAAAGGGAGGGTGGGTGGGTGTTTTGTGGGGGGGTGTGGCGGGGGCAAGGGAGGCAAAGGAATATACCATCTGGAGATCACGGCTCCCTGAAGTACTCTCAACCATCTGGGGGCGTGCACGAACATCATAAATTACTGGCCTTTCAAACCATGGAAACATCAGGTGAGTCCCTTCAGGATAAACCTGCATGATCCAAGTGTAAGAACATGGTATTAATTATAGATGACAATGTAAAAACATAGAAATCAAGAAGAATCAATGAATCATACTCCCTCCGTCCCAAAATAAGTGTCCTACTTTCCTTTTTTGGCTGTCCCAAAATAAGTGTCATATTTCAAAATCCAATACACTATTTTTTAAATATTCCTAATATACCCTTTGTCTTGAAATTATAAAAGTAATTAAAACTTCTAAAACAAGCTATTGTGGACCCCACAATTCAAATTTGAAAGGTCACTTGGTTGGGTCAAGACAAACTATTTTGTACTGTATTCATAAATTGCTACAAGGGCATATTAGGAAATTCATTTCATACTACTATAAAAAAAACCATAAAAAATAATACTCTTAAAAAGTTGTATTCCCCAAAAGCGACACTCTTTGCGGGACGGAGGGAGTATATTACAATCTATAATTCAATGATACAGGAAAGAAAATTTAGAAAGTTGCCAGTTGTTCAATGAGCAAATCATACAGGCACTAAAGAAAACATTTGTTTATTTCATACCGTACTTGTACAAGAGCTTTGCAACTATCATATTTGACACCTAATTTATTAAAAAACAGTGTTGCTGAAAACATAAAATGTTATATCTTAAGTGTCTATTTGTGATTTACATGGTTCGTAATCTACTAAAACCACAACAAATCAACCCAGTCATTAAGATGGTTATGTGATGCAGAACAAAAAGTAAATGGGATAACTTCTTCTAATCTCGATTACCTTGTTCACTGAAGTCAATTACTCTTGCCTCTCAAAAAAATATAAAGGTCAGGACAATTCCACAGAGCAGTTGAAATCCAAATGCAGTGCAGGACTCTATTTACTAGCAAACATTTGGTATCGAAGCGGATTTTATCAAATGATAACTACTCAAGTCTAAAACGGGTTACATTACTAGTAACTATTCAGGAAGAGATGAGATGTGCATCTAATTTTCTAGTTCTTCACCCATTCAACCCATTTTCAAGATCTGTTTAACTGGAAATATAAGAGTTGTGACTAATTTAGAGCACCATGGTTAAATATTTCCAAGCCAAAGGATACACAAAGAGATTACACCAACTAGTTCTTTATATTAGTTCCAAAGGATAGTTATTGTACAGGAAGCAACACGCCCAGCAGTAACCAGCTTTAATATTATTCCGTCAATGCTTATAGAAAACATTGTTGCGTTGTCTATGCAACTTTGGAATTGCAACTGTCTACAAGTTTGTAATAAGGCTGACGTCAAGAAAAAAAAAAATATCTTGCATACATGAAAGTAAAAGTTGCTACATTATGTAAACTACATAAAATAGACCATCAAACAAGCTTTTACTACATATACTATTGTGCAGTTCAAAACTAAATACTTAACCAATTAATAAATACTAAAATCATATCAAGCATCGAAACCAAAACGCATATCTTGTGGAGATCAAAGCAAGTATCAAAAAGTACAACATATTTAAAAACTGAACTTGCATTAGAAATACAGGCACGCACAGCCCAATCATGATGATTGAAACTTAAGATTCACACTCACCAAAAAAGAGAGAACATGGAACAATCTTGAAGAGAACATTTGAGTGCAATATAAAGAAAAAAAATGTTCACACTCAACTGAAAATCACAGACACATACACTCGGCATTTCTTTTGTGTTAATCAATATTAATAAATGTTAGTCAAATTAAATTATTTCCCACAATTTTCTGCCCATGTATTCAGTTAAAAAGTCAAGTCATCAACTAGAGGTACTGTTGAGACAACTAAATAAACAAACTAGATGACATATCATTTCAAAATAAATATAAGATGTTCAAAAGGGAATTTAAAGGAAACTTCTAAGAAAGATAACAAGCCACAAACACATTAAATTGCAAAAACTAAGAGAACACATGGAAAATCTGGAATATTTTTAAACATGTAAGAGAAAAAATTTAGATCTAACTACAATGTGAAGAAATACGAGTGCAAGTTTTCATGTAAAATACAAGATGTTAAGGCAAAACATAAACCTTGTCTTTGACACCAACAATACGGTTGAAAACGATTGCTCGGTGCCCTCCTTCAACATTGTAGAGACTGTTAGAAGCTCCCCACACACCTAGCCCACCAATAATACCCAGCTTAAGTAAAGTAGGAACAGCACCACCACCTGGCACCTTGGGAACTCGAAAATTGTTGAAATTCATGTTCCAAATTGCTGAGAACAGGTAAAATCAAACTTTACTGGAATGAAGATAATAAACTTAAAGATTCACAAAAAAATTCAAGGGCGTTGAAAGGGAAAAAAAACCATCAGCAATATATACAAAAGAAAATGAGGGATTGGTAAAAAAGGAGGCTACAGAGAGAGAACATGATGAACAAAATTGACAATGTTTAAGGAAATAATCAACATTAATAGAAAAGACTATTTTGTTCCCCATAATATCTTCATAGTTTCAATACCAAATGTTGAATAAAGGTTTACAAGTGCTTATATCATATACACAGTAACCTGGAAGTCTGCAGATAGTGAAAAACTGACAAAATTCAATTTTGGACAGTCGCCATTCATATGCTAACTTGCTCCTAGATGTAAGAACAAAAATGAATGTGAATTTTTCAAATTGTGAAGTCTTCCAATATTTTATGGGAAAAAAATTGTTCACCAAAACTAATAGACAAAACAAATTTTAGTCCAGTCAAGAATTCACTGAATTGACTATATGAAATGTCCACATTTTCATTTTTCCATACTAGAATAAAATACAGTATACAAACAGATCAAATATATACACAAATAGACAAATAAATAAATAAATGAAAAAGATCTTTGTATATGTGTTGTGTGTATGAAAGCACTCTAACTTCGACTCTCTTTCTCTCACCATCACTCCACCACCATTACCGCCCTACTTAACTGTTCTACACCACAATCGTTCTCCACATTTTTAAAGCATGTTAAAATCAAGTGATCACATTCCCAAACCAAGTTTAAGTTAATCTCATTGCATCTTGTTCAATTGATTTTCCATTCACAACTAAAGCAACCACCAATACACAAATTAATGTATGCAGGAGACAATAGAAAATATAGAAAAGCAAGCACAACTATATATTCTACACATAAGCTTCCCTGTCACAGTGTTACTCCTATCATGAATAACCACTATCACTTGCACAATCAAACTCCAGTAAACCAACATGCTTCTACCAATGTCAACCCATCAACCAAAGACCAGTGTCACAAAACCTAACCACCACCGCCGCCTCATAACCCATAGGAATGGGGAAAACACTTAGAAATTTAATTTTCTTTTTCTTTTTTATTTTTTTTTTTCTGTCAGAAATTTGTTTTTATTAAAGCAAAAATTTCTCTTAAACAAACAAGGTTGTGTCCTTGCCATTTCCTCCCTCTTAACAGTGGCCCAATGGACCGCACTTGTCAAGGAAGCCAATGGCTATTAGGAATGAAAATGTGGCAACAAAGACCACTTCCAATAAACCAGATATTTCTACCTATAACTGCGCATAGCTTTTTCCCCTTACTTTCCGCATTCCATGAACAGATATATCATCAAAATTTAGGTTCAAATGTGAAAATCACAAAAACAACAAGATAAGAACCCCATTTCCACAAACTTGAACTGTAAACGAAATCGACAGACCTTCAATATTATACCATGAAGAAGAATCTAGACAAAAACTGTGATATTATATATAAACCTTGAAAAAACCTATTCGGCCTCAGTATAGCAATATATCTCTAAACCTAATTTTAGTAGCTTCTCAAGGTTCGGAGTGAAATGCAAAAATACACACGATCCTCGGAACATACACAACAGATCCACAAATATACCTATATATATAGAGCATAAAACAAAATTTCAGAAAGAAATAGTTGGAGAAATTCGAACTGTGCTCTGCCGCTCCAGAAATTGCATGCAATTTTGCTAAGAACTGAAAATCAGAAAGAGTATATAGACAAATATGTAATAAACGTGTAGAGAGAGAGAGAAATAGAGAGAAATGAAGATATGCTTACCAGATCGAACCAGAGAGAGAGAGAGAGAGAGAGAGAGAGGGGTTTAGGGCTTTATAAGGTTCAAAAGGCGAGGGAAGGGGTTTAGCGAATTTAGGGTTTTAGGACATATCGAATTTTTCATTTTTTTGGGCGATTTTAGGAACATTCTACACTAACTTGTCAAGCAAGATATGGATCTGGTAGGCCGGTCATGTATTGGGTCTTTGGATAGTGGCTTGGTTCTTCTGGCCCAATCAAGACGGCCTCCACTCAAACTCTCAACCTCTTGAAAAGATTATACCATTCGAGCCAGAGGGTCTTATTCAGCTAGTAATAAAGAAAAATCTTGACCTAAGTCACAAGAACGAGTTTGTGAAAATAACAAAACTGAGTCACTAATTGTGAGAATTGGAACGCAGGGAACAAAATTGAGCAACTCATAAAATATTAATAAATTGTATGGTGAATTTTGGGCGTGAGTCGTGACCACATTCATCAATAGTGTAGGTATTTTGGGCATTGACCGCATACATGAAAAATATGTCCACATTTGATTTAATGCTTTGGTTTCAATTTGGAATTTAAAAAATAAAATAAAATAATTGAATTGAACTAAATAATCCTTAGTGATAATTTAATATATAATTACCAAAAAAAAATTAATAATTTATGCCCACACATATTTTTTTGTTCACGTCGAGACTCGAACCCCTTCCCTCTTCTTTGAAGATAAGAAAATTAAATCATTAGCCGTTTGGTATATTATACCATCACTTGATAATTGAATAGATTATAGGGGATGTAAGTAGTCCTGGCCAATGTGTTGATATTTTTTACTAGACGCGGTTTACATCGTCCACCACCAAGCTTTAAATTAAGATGATTAATTAATTACCCACTAGTCTAATTATTAAATTTATAATATGATTGATAGATCTCACGTACCTACGGCTCTCTGTTAACATCTCATTGACTTACCTAACATGCGCATAAATCATCCCTGTCACAAGTCTTGTCTTGGTTAATCAAATATTGTTTTGAAAGCCACTTTGCCTTTTAATCCCTATAAAGGATGAGACTTGATTCGATTCAAATTTAATAAAAAAATGTAATTACTGATGTGAATATATAATCGATTGAATAATGGTTTAAAGACAATTGGATATTTGGTTCAATAATCGAATTTGTCAAGAGTTTTTTATTTTATTTTTTGTAAGTGAGAAAAAGAAAAAACAAAATAAAAAAAAAAAAAAAAAAAAGAGAGAGAAGAAATTAGATATTAAAAAAAATATAAAAAAAAGGGTGAATTGCAAAAAAAAAAAAAAAAAAAACCCATCGACTATCACTCACTTACAAAAAAACACTCTTATAAATATTTTTAACAAAAAATCCCTAGGGGATATTTTAACTTAAAACTATGTAATGATTTTTTGAGGCAATTTTTTGGACCAAATTACCCTCAACATTATGGATTGGGTCATTATTTAGTCATTCATTAAATCCGGTGAACACCAATTTCAGTCAAATCCAAATTTTCTAACGATATTCTTCTATCCAAATAATACTAAAATTATTACAATTTATGCCCAAAAAAAAAAAAAAAGTCATTAACAACTGTTGAGGGTGAAACTCACGCGGTCCGATATGACACCGTTTTCCTGCAAGGAATAAAGGAGAAGATCGATGAACCTTGACGGCACCGATGTGATGCCTGCTAAGAGCTCTCCGACGATCAAGTTAGTCACCGGAGGTCTAAAAAGAAGGCAATGATTTAATAATAGGTTTTTCGTCATACCTTATTCCCGAGTCGTCTTCCTATTTATCGTCACTTCCCTTACCCTTGATAAAGGAATATCATAATCCTTATCACATAGAACTTATCCCATAGAAATCTTATCCTTGATAAGATTTGTCATTATCCCATGGAACTTATCCAATGGAAATCGTTATCCTTGATAACGAATTATTATCCTTCGAAAGTAGAAGAGATCTGGCTGCTGGTCAACACTTAGTTGCTTCTATTGTTAGGTAAAGATATGTTAAGTTTATTTTTCCCTATCAGTTGCCCCCCATTTCCAAGCTTGCTCGTCTAGCTTTGGCAATGTAAAATAATTTTTTTTTTTTGCCCCCGGTACTGCTCCCTTGGGAACAGTGCCCGCGGGTACTGTTCATTGAACAGTTAGGTTTTTTTTTTTTGGTACCCTCGGGAACTCTTCCCTTGGGTACTTATTTTTTGTACCCTTGGGTAATCTTCCATTGGTAAGGAATTAAATTGTACGAGTTTTACTCAAGTCATCACTCTTTTAATAAGGTAATTACATTTTACGAGTTTTACTCAACTCGTCCCTTTAGTTAGGGATTTACTATCCCTTATAATAAGGGGATATTGATTATAGGATTCATTTAGCCCGGATCCTTTTAATACAGAACAATTATTTACTATCCCTTATAGTACGGGAATATTGATTACGAGATTCATTCAGTCCAGATCCTTTTAATACATGACACTCATTATAATCCCTTATAGTACGGGAATATGATTACGGGATTCATTCAGCCCAAATCCTTTTAATACAGGACATTTATTTACTATCCCTTATAGTACGGGGATATTGATTACGGGATTCATTCAGTCCGAGTCCTTTTAATACAGAACATTTATTTACTATCCCTTATAATATGGGGATATTGATTACGGGATTCATTTAACCAGGATCCTTTTAATATAGGACACTCATTATCATCCTTTGTAATACGGGAGGTAGTTGTCTCGTCTCTCTAGTAAATGAAGAAAGTTTTAATTATCTCACCCTTCTGTGTAGAATGAGTAGTCGGCTTCTTGTCCCTTTAATAAGGGAAGAATGTGTTGCCGCCCCTTGGTCCCTTTAAGGGGTTAAATAGATTATTTTGAGCTTGATATTACCACATAGGTAGGTAACTGAAAACATAATATTTTATTGCGTAGAAATTGAGGGTTATCAATCTCATTGGAGATGGTGACTTTATTGGAAAATAAAATAATATGTGAAATGATGAACTGAGATGCCCTCAGTCTTTATTTTGAATGACTTGATAAGGCTAATTCTAGCTGTGAGACAACTGTTAGTCGGTATACTTATCTGAGTTCTCCTCACTATATGTCCTATCGCTTTAGCTGAAGAATGATCTCTTATAACTGGTATCTTTTTCTTCCCTGGTGAGAGGTGCTGACCTCTTCTTGTCCTCTCTTTCCTTTCCTTTCCGTGCATTTATGGCGTCTTCAGCGTTCATATGTTTCTGCGCTCTGATCAACAACTCTGCCATGCTAGTGGGAGGTTCTTTGGATAAGGCGAACAAGAATCTGGAGGTTTGGAGTCTGTGATACCCCTCGGATCCGAGACACGGGTTGATCAGGCCAGGCCCAAACCCGAGGGATATCAAACAATTAATATGTAACCGAACACAGAATACAAGATGAAATAAATAAAAATAATAATAAGCTGGAAGAATGCTAATTGAAATCCTTAAAAAATAATTATTGAAATCTGCTAAAATCAAACTCCAAAACTCCATAGGTTACAACTCGGGAATCCTTTTAGTGGAACCCTTTTTAAAATCCCAAAACTAAAACATCTGAAAAAAAAGCTAAAGGTAAACATAGCAAAGATTCCTACATAGTCGAAGGAATGAATATCTGTATCTGCTCTGCACGTCCAAGCTCTAAGCCTGGAACTAACGAACACCTAAAAAATAAGAGAGTGGGTCAGACCCACATGTAAGTCCTATTCTACTACAATCCAAACAGTAATCCGATACGCAGATACATCCTAGGAAGACTCAACAATATCTAGAGTAGTCCATAAGTATATATATAGTACATACTATAGGACGCTCACTAGTCCAATAGGTCTGTCTCAGCCTGAGTAGAGATACCATGCAAATCGCACAATAATGTGGTCATGTGTACCTAGACCTACCAGGGAACAACACCCATGTCCAATTATCTATCCTAGGCGATATACGCGCCCTAACCATGGCCCTGAGACTCAAGCTCATACCATGGTACCATATAATAAATATATAAAGTCCGTACTCCTCCTAATACAAAATACCATCCATCTGTGTAGTGGTCTAGTATATGTATAATCATCCATCCCGAAACCATATTAAGTCATTCAACTATTTTTTTGACATGACACAAGTAGGTGATAGACTTAACCTATATGGTTAATCCGTACCTTAATCCCAATTAGGTAGGACTTAGTGTCTGAACTAGTCCATACCTAGTATGTCACCGTCTCATACCAGTACATACCATCCTCCAGTTAACAAGGTTGACAAAACAGAAATAAATACTTATCAACGATTTTCCAGATTTAGCATAAATATAGTCTAACATATATACAACCAATTAATGAATACAGTATAACATTTAGAAGTCCTATTTCAGTCTTTAGTATAAATGAAATAAGATCACATATTAACTTCTCCAGACAGTATCATAATTGATGCAGTATACTGTATATTTAGAATATCAATTAATCTCCACTTAAGCATACTCATTTTCCAGAATAAATAACTATATGCTTATTAAACAGTTGCAACATGAATAACAGTTTAAAATCATGATAAGAAACCAAACTTGCTCAAAACAATAAGCAGTTCTACGGTTAATCAACTAACCTTTCATATACAGTTTCCTTGTTTAATCCTTAAGTTATTTCCTGTTTTAACACAATAACATTAACATGCTTCTACACAGTTTTTACAACTCTGGAACAGTTATCTAAACCATTCACAGCAACTGAAATAACCCAGATACTTCCCTACATGCCAAACCGGACCCAGAACCACGCAAAACCTCAAGAAAAGGGGTTGAAGCCGCCTCCAGAAAGTTGGAGCCGACTCCCCCCTTAATGAAGTCACCTCCACTTCATGTGGAGCCGGCTCTACCCCTTGTAGAGCCGGCTTTACAAGTCCTAGAGCCGGCTCCACCCTTTTGGTGAGCCGGCTCTCCTCTTTTGAGAGCCAAATCCCCTAACCTGTTCGTCTTCTTTGCCTCCGGCGAAGTCCAGAGCCTCTATAGTATTTTAAACTCCTGTTCTGGTGTTTATTTAATGTCCCAGATTATTTGAAAACCCCCGACATGTAATAATAATCCCAATTAAACCAA